GTTTCCACGGGCCTGTTCTGCGAGGGTTGGAGTCAAGGCCGAGACTGTGGACTTCTGCTTGGTTGCCGTGGATCTGGTCGCTGGGGGCCAGTTGATTCTGTGGCAGTGGGATTTTAGTTTATTCTCTCTGCTGGACTTGTTGAATTTGTAAGCTCGTGTCTTTTGTCCAACTTGGAGTGTTTTCAGCCGTCCCGTCTTCAGAATGTCCCCAACTCCGTGCGTGCTTCATTGTGGGGCACTGGGACAGCGTTAAGCCTCTGCTGTGGCCCTCGGGGCCTTGAGCTCTTTTCCTTGGAGTCCTTTGGTTTCTACAAGGTGCCCTTGCCCAGCGGGCTGCCAGGGGAGCTTCTCCTGCACATACATGCCTTGGTTCTGCCCAGGTGGGGGAGGCAGAGCACTGGGGTCAGGGAATGGGCCCGGTCAGCTGATTGCCCTGTACAGATGACCAGCGAGTCTCTCCCATCCTCTCCTGGGCTTGCGAGCCTCTGTGGGGTGCGTCTGCGGCCTGGCTGGTGTGCCTTCTCCCTTGCTGTCGGGCCCTGACGATGGCTTCTTTTCCGTCCCGGCTCTTGTAGCTTTGTGCCTCTGCCCATGTTCTTCATCGCCATTTCATGGACTTCACCGGGGCTGGAGATCAACGAGGTGTGTGCTGCCTCGTGCTGCTGGAGGTCTTGGGCTCAGGGGCAGAATGAAGGATGGCGGCCAGGGCGTCCCTTGGAGAGCTCGGTTCAGGGCTTGGCCAGGAGCAGCACTCTGCAGAGAGAGGGTCTGTGCTGGTTCTGCAGGGCCAGTGATTTTCCACTTGGAGGAAAGTCAGTGGTCGGGAATGTACCGTGGGCACATAGGTCTGGGGTGGGGGTGGGGGCAGTGTGGATGCCTGACAGGAAGCAAGTCAGAATGAGCTCAGAGGATTTCAGTAGGTAGTTAGTTACCTGGCTCTCCAGCTCCATTGCTTCTGAAACTAGCTTCCTGGGCCTGTCCCCAGAAATGTGCCTGGACATCCAGTAGTCTTCACATCGCACTGCCAGTGGTCAGCGTGGGGGTCACTCGGACACAGAGACAGCCTGCACACACAGCAGGCCCACTGATCTGAGCTTCCCAAACGGTTCTGCTTAGCGCTTGGTGCCTCAGTGCCTAGCCCAGCGACTTGGCCCCACCCCGCGGGCTCGGCTTGGCTCGGCTCGGCTCGGGCTCTTGCTTCTTTGCCTCCAGACATGTGGGCGTTGGCGGCGGCCTGCTGCCAGCTGCTCCCCACACTGCGCTCTCTGCTGGGGACTTGGTGCTGCTGCTTGGGTTTTTCCAGATGCCTACCTTGGTCTTGCCCCTGAGTCCTGGTTTTGATTCCTGCCCTCACGCCCCACAAAGAGGCAGCACTGTGGCCTTGTCAGCCAGTGCCCGCACCAGCTTGTATTGGCACCTGACCGTAACGAGGAGAGTGAAGCCTTCCTGTTCTTGGAACTTACACACCGACGGTCAGGTGACTCCCTCCCTGTGTAAACACCGGCCAGGCTGACCAGGCCTCCTCACCACTGTCACTGTCTGCAGCATCTGCCAAGAGCCAGCTGGCCCCTTGTCCACTTTGTCTCAGGAGTCCCGAGCGCCCCAGCAGGAGTGTGGGAGCAGCCTCAGAGCGTTCTCTCTCTCAACCACTTTTCTACCCGAGGAGGGTTCCACAGGAAGGTTCCGAGAACATACGGCGTTGTTCTGCCCCACGGCGGAGGTAGGCTTGCCACCAGTGAGGCCCGCTATCAGCACTGGCACAGGGCACAGAGCAGGCTTTACTCCGAGCCCTTTCTGGCCTTCGCCTGGACCCCTAGTGAGCGTGGCTGCCCGTCCTCCCTCAGAGCACCTTTGTTTTTCACCGAGTGGGTCATTGTGAAGAACGCGGCCCCGCACGTTGCCCAGTGAGGGACTTTCTATGGGGACTTGTCTGCTGTGTTTCTCATTGTTGACCCACCGTGGTGCTGTCAGGCCAGCTCCCGCGGGCAGAGTAGAATTGCCCTGCTGGGTCCCTGAGGCTGCCAGTCTTCATCGGAGCAGCCTGCCTCGTTTTTCTCTTGAGGAGTGGTTGGTGGGTTTGAACCACCAGCCGTTCTGGTAGCAGCCCAGCACTCAGCCCCCCGGATTGTGCTTTGTTTTGGTGTAGAGGACGACTGAGGTGTAGTGCCAGTCCCGTTTCACCCTGTCGCCCCAGCATGACTTGTCACTGTGGGAGCTGACCTCGGTCACCCAGCAGAAGAAGCCTTTGGCAGCATACCATGCTGTTTGGAGGGCGATCGCTGCGCAACCCCTTCCACACACCTCAGAGCTGGGCCACTAGACTCCCACCCCCACCCCCTTGAAGCGGGAGGGCTAGCACTGAGTTCCATCTACATGGCTTGGAATTCTGCATAGGACATTTGTCGGTCTCTCCAGAGATAATTGCTGGCTTCCGTTGGTCTGGCCCAACATTCAGTTACAGGCCACTGACCTTGTCCTTGGGCTGTGCCGGCCATAGCCATCCATGCCTTCAGCTCTTTCTGGTGTCCCGAGCCTCGCCCCTGCTACCGCGTGTGGTGTGTGAACACTTCGTCACTCTCCGGCCCTGGTGGGAGCACTTGTTTGGAGATGGTGTGCAGAGCCCGCTGGACGTTCTCTTGAAGGGTCGAGTGTTGCTGGTGGGGTAAGAGCGGTGCTGAGCTTATTTTCACTCCTGGAGGCCCTGTGTGGAAGAGCGGGCCCACAGGAGTATATGCTCAGCTGTGATCTCGCAGGGGTCAACTGCTATGTGTCCCTCCCGCGTGGTGGTGGGTGGGCTCCGCTCGCAGCCACGAGCTTATTTGTGTTGCACCACCAGGGTTCCGTCTGGGTGGCAATCCCTCTTCTGTCACTGTGCCATGTGTCCTGCCAGGAGCGGAAGGACCTCAGGAGCTCAGTCTGACGTGCAGGTACCTTGGAAGGGTCAAGCAGTACCCAGATGGGGGAAGCAGAGCGCAGGGGGCCATCCAAACCCTCAGCTTAGATGACCAACGTAAATCT